TCTAAAACATTTGTTAAACAGTTGACTAATGTTCGATTTTCAATGTAGGATGAGAAAAATGATCATTCTTAGCTTGCAAGTTCTGGTGAAGTGAGTGGTGTTGAAGACGCTTGCACAATTTTTGGTACTTACATGGATAATCAAACTCTAAGGTGAGGTGTCATATTGAAATATCTGGGCAGAAGTTCAATAGCTTAGTCTAAAACAAAATGACATAAATAAATTTCTTACACAGTTTAAAGGTTGCTTTGAGTATTGCTGTGGCTCAGTCATGAAACTCCTGAATGTCATTTCAGCAAAGCAAAAGGGCAGCTACAGAATCTCAGGTGATCATTGCAAAGGGCTTAAAGCAGTATGTACTCTGGAGGATAATCATGTGCTTGTCCAGCACACATGAAAAGGTCATTATTCTGCTATGTTTATAAATTTCTCATCATCACCAGTGTTGGGAAGGTTACTTTTCAAATGTATTCCTCTACAGATTACAGAATACATGCCCCAAAATGTATTTTGTAACGTAGCCGTTATGTTACTCAATGAGAGTGACGTATTCTGAATACTTTGGATTACTTAATATATTATCATGCCGTTTACAACTACATGAATGTACTATTGCTGTGTGATTTATTACTTTTACTGAAGGTTATTTGCCATACCAATACCAATTAGATTTGAAATCTTAATATAAAATGAGTAACAGTAGGTTGACATTAGGTAAGGCTGCACTTTTTGCAGCGATCTTGTATAGAAAACTATTCCGTACCTGTAAAACAGGTTCGGGGCTCCGAACCGTAAAAGCGTAAAGGGACCTCTGGCTAATACGTTGGGTTCCATGTTGGGCTCGTAGCTGAAACTAGCTTTACTTTGTTGTCTGGGTCAACTTTGCGAGAGACAGAGAGAGGTGTTGAAAGGCTGCTCCAACGGAACTTATTGCTCCGGAGGAAAACACGAACACGGTGTACAGTCGAGTCTTAATAGCTTACTTACAACTGGGCTCGTCAGTCACTCTTTTTGGCTGCAGTGGTTATTATTATATTTACATGCTTCCATTTCCGTTTCTGGTTGGTGCCAACTTGTACTTTTCTACTCTTTTTCTACTCCCTGGCTCACAGACACATAACGGGTATGGCAGGCCATTCTCCCTGCAGCACAGACTACACTGCCCATGAGGCTACATTCTTTAGGGCTATGCCTGTAACACTCTGCCTATTGCCTTCATATGAAATAATTTTTGTGAATAATTTTAAAAATATTTCTTCACGTCATTCTGCAGGCCGCAAGTAGAGGTGACATGGGCCGCGAAATTGAGACACAGACATCAGAGCCTCTTAATGCGTGTTTTGTTTGGGTTTCCACCGGCGTGGAAACTAAAAATAGAGAGGGCATAGCCTAGCATTTGAAACAGGGAAATACAGCCCTGTAATCCGTTCATTTCATCAAAGTAACTGTATTCTAAATACCACCTTTTAAAACGGTAACAGAATACAGTTACTCATATTTTGTAACGGCGGTACATGTATTCCGTTACTCCCAAACACTGATCATCACTATAGTGGAATTAATCACAGTAATTATTTGTGGGTGACATACCACTTACTGTGTCAGTCCAGGGAGAGTTGACATATGAAATAGCAATTTTTTAAAATTATTTCACATGGTTTTACTCCTCTGTTGCTTAAGGTTTATATGATGTTAATTAAAATGCATATCCCATCACATAATCTCATTTTCTCTTCTTGTGTTTCCTAATCTACCTCACCTTACAATCACAAACCAGGATGGTGCGCAACATAAACTGAATAAACTGAGTAATATCTGTAAATCAAAAACCAAAAAACGAATTAACAACCTACCTACCAAATACAAAAATATGACCTAAAGTACATTTGACGACATGTTCATAATAGCTAATGTCGCAGATATCATGAACTAATTGTGATTAGGCATTTTCTTTAGAAAGTGGAGTTTCTTTTCAGTTTCTTTAGCTGTGTCTGACAAAGTGAAGCAGGCTAATAGGTTTCAAAAAGTAGCACATCATGCCACAATCTAAAGGAACTCAACAAACAGGTAAGGAACAATGCTTTTTATATCTATCAGCTTAGAAAGAGTTAAAAAATTTATTTCTAAGGCTTTGGAAGAAAATCACAGTGATGGCAAAAACATGGAACTTTTCAGGAATGACTAGATTACCAAAATGACTTCAAGAGGCCATCACCTACTCATCCAGGAGGCCAGAAAGAACCCACAACAACTTCTAAAGAACCCCAGGTCTCACTTGCTTCAGTTAAGGTAAGAATTTTTGACTCCACAATAAAAAAGAGACTGGAAAAATGCACCCATAGGAAGAGAGTTCCAGATATCAATGCTGACCAAAAAGAAACAAAGTCCCGTGATCCCAAAGACTTTTGCGCAAACATCTGTGGACTGATGAGACAGAGGTTGAACTTTTTGGAAGATCTCTCTTCCAGTAAACTTTTTTTTAAACTAACACAGCATTTCATAAAAGGAACAGTCACACATGCTGCTGGTGGTGTGATGGCCCATGGCTGCTTTGCTGCTTCAGGGCCTGGACAACTTGCCATAATTGATTGAACCATGAATTTTGCTGTCTACCAGAAAATCCTGAAGAAGAATGTCCAACAATCAGTTTTGTGCTCTGAAACTCTATTTGGGTTTTAGAGCAGGAGAATGACTCAAAACACATCAACAAGTCCACTTCTGAACGGTTAAAAACATGAACAAAATGACCAAACAAAGTTGGTTGGACTCATATGTAATTGCGATCCTTCGTGAGCATAATTACATGAGCATAAAATGAGCATAAACTTTCATACTTGAAAAACCTCCAATGTGGCTGACTTCCCTTTCTTCAAATTTTGCAAAGCAGAGTGGACTAAAGTTCCTCCCCTGCAATGTGACTTTCAGTTAGTAGGTTTAAGCAACTACTTTTTCTCTCATGGCCAGGTAAGTTTGGATACCTTCTTTTTTTTTCATTAAGAAATTAAGTCATTTTAAAAACTGCATTTTTTATTTACTTGTGTTATCTCTGTCTAATTTTAACATTTGTTTGATGATCTGAAATGTATAAGTGTGAAATATATGCAAAAAACTAAATAGGAATTCGGGCAAATACTTTTTCAGAGGACTGTATGTCATATAACTTGAACTTCTTGAGCACTGGGGAAACATTCAGGATTTTGTGTTTTCTGTATTTTCAGACAAAAGCTGAAAAAAGGACAAGTTCACGTCATTGTTTTATTTCCATCCTCTCCTCTTGTCTTCTCTTGTATTTTTGTTTGTTCTACATGGTTTTTTTTTTCTAATTTCCCGTTTTATGTTGACATAGTATTCTGTTGTGTGTAGTTTGAGCTTTGCTTTGTTCATTTCCCTCCATTGTCCTTGCCTGTCATGAATTCTTTTTACCAACGGTCAGCTCATTCCGTTGTCTCAGTGTGTAATTAGCTCCCTCTCAGTGTCTGTATAGTCCTGTGTTTCCTTTTATAAGGTCCTGTTCCCTGGTTGTTTCCACTGGGTAATGTCATCATTCTTTTCCACCTTGTAGATTGTCTAATGGTTGGACTTTTGATTTCATTAATAAAGGCTACTGTCTGTATGCATGTTGCATCCTACCCTTGTCTTCAGCATTGGAGTTGTCATCTCACATTAAGAAACATACATTTCAAGGACAAAGTTTGTTAACTTTTGAAAAAAGATGCAAAAAATGTGGGTAAATGTCATGGTGTGTACAGTGGCCAGATTTAGCCATATATATTCTTCATGAGGTGATAACGATTGTCTCCTTAAAACTGGAAAGTGGAATAAATATTGTCAGTATTGTGTTAGTAAATGAACTACTACCTTATTTCTTGTCGCTTAATGAACAGCAATATTTATTTGAAGAGAGTAGTTAAAGTGACATATTTGTTCCATATTTAACTTACAGAATAGAGCTGGACAATATGACTAAACTCTAGAACATATAAACAGTAAAATGATTGTTTTTGTTTTTTTTAAATATGTTTTTTTTTTATATAAATGTTATTTTTTTACTTGACCTTACTTAAATGGACTTTCAACATTTGTTTGGCTACATATGACCGGTTTAACATTTTAGGTAACTGGCTGCCTAGTTCCCAAAAAGTTCAGCTCTGTTCATCTGGACAAAACTTTTTTCAGTGGAGAAATGTTTTGTCACTCATTCAAGCGACTTCTTCAGTCTAGTTCTGGACTGATAACAGTTTGGTTGGCTTGTAGTTGGATATCACTGACTGTTGTAGTCACTGTGGTTTCAAGCAGCCCAGGTATTTCAAATTACAATATATGAATTAACATCAGTAAGCGAGTCACATATTGTATTTTGGCAGACTGGCATGTTGTCCAGCTCTACACCATAAGTTGGCCAGGGTCAGGGGAACAGAGGAGTAGATAGAATTAATTCAGTGAAGAGAAACAATAAATGAAACCAGTCCGTGAACAAACTTTCATCATCCCAGTGGGAGGACAAAGCAGTCATGGTGTTAAGTAAAACCTCCTACAGGTGAATCTGCATGCAATTCTCTCAGTACACACAACAGATAGTTCAGATTTGAATGAAAACAGCTGAAATGTACGCAACTGAATGCACAATCACAATCAACAATCAGCATGATGAAATGATCAGCAAGACTCAAAAAACGTGTTTTCTGTAGGACTGAAAATTCATATAGCAATGACTTAGAATAAAATTATGTGATTGTGCTTTTTTAACCAAAGTAGGACAAATAATACAAAGACAACATATACATCACTTAGAAAACATTAACACTGTTATATAAAATTTGAATTTGAAGCACTTCTGTGGCAGTAAACAATTTACAAGATGGCAGGTAATGACTGTATATCAATTATAGCAAAGTAACAAGACAACTGACAAACAAAGATCATACTGGACCGCATCAAGCAGTCATTGTGGACAATACTTTTGTAGACACTCACAACCGCATCAAATGTGCATTTATATTACTAGAGCCAGCCTCCAACAGGTCAGTGTCCTGGAGTCTGGTCAGCAAAAGAAAGCAAACAATAAACAGTGCATCAAATAAAAGTCTAGTTACTTAAAGATGAGAGCACTTTTTTCCTTTTTTTCCAACACTTAATGAGAAATCTGACTTTTAAAAAAACTTATATTGTGCAGTATTTTTGGAGTCTTTTCCACTTTTTTAAAGGTTGTAGTCCTTTCTCTGAAGCAACAATAGGATATTCCTGTTGAGCGCACATTGCTTCTTAGCTTTTCAGGAACTGTGGAAACAAAACAGCATTAGTCTCATTCCTCTTTTTGTTTTTCCTACACACACATACACATGAATATGTATATATATATATATATATGTATATATATATATATATATGTATATATATATATATATATATATATATACATATATATATATATACATATATATATATATATATATACATATATATATATATATATATATATACATACATATATATACATATATATACACATATATATACATACATATATATACATATATATACATATATATACATATATATATATATATACACACACACACACACACACACACACACACACACACACACACACACACACACACATGCAAAGTGTTAGCTACACATTTTCATGTACCTCTTCCACCTGTCCCAAAGGTGCCACCTGTCCACCCTGTTTAGTCCTTGAGTCTCCAGATGATGCAAATTTGGATGAATTAGACTCATTTGGCACTGTCTGAGTTTGTCCTGATGGGAAAGAGGGACGACTGTACAGAAGAATGTCCCCAAATTCTTGAAAAAGAGAAAATCAATCAATTAAAGAGTCAGTCAATTAATTAATTAATCACACATCCAATGGCCTAAAATGATAAGAGACAAAAAAGATCACATAAAATAATAAAATGCAAAAAATCTCCATTATAATTTGGGTGTAAATTTAAGTTTCAAAATGAGCAACATTATCCATATAGTACCAGAGTGCTGTCGGTTTTTGCTGCTCCCTTTTCCTGCTAATGAATCTTGTGATTCTCCTGGCCTCTCTTTCCTCAACTGTAGCCTCTTTGACCCTGTGAGTCCCAGTGCTGCCTCGTCTACCCGGGCCTCCCAGGGCCATCCGAGGCAGCGTGGCCCCCTCACTTATAGTCACCATGGACATCTGGCTGGTGAAATCCAGAGGCATACAAGTGTCTGTGGAAAGAGCAGTGCACAGAATTTTAAATATTGCAATCATTAAGAGACACAGTATGCAACAGCAAACTTATCCGTGGGTCTTTCTTTACCATCACTGAAGACGTCTTTGGGTGGTAACCCTGTGGAGCAGATTGGTTCTGTTTATGGCGCTGGCCTTTATGTGTTATTGCAGGACTCATGTTGCTATCTGTGACATGGGACTGCTGGGTCGCTGCTGTCGCCGCCCTAAATCATCCCATGGACATAGATAGCACAGATTAACATATAACATATGGTAAGCTTACAGTTATTATTGTAATTGTAAAAGCACTTTGAGGGCCCCGAAAAGCGCTCTATAAATGCATCCATTATTATTATAATGGAAGAGAATTTGACTTTTGTTTTTGTCTCTATGATAATAATAATAATAGTTATGCCAAAACACCTCCACCAGCTTCTTTCTGTGAGTAATACAGCTCTACATTTTCTGCAAAGTTGAACAGTTTGGCTATTTCAAATGTTCTTTAATGAGGTCTAAGGTTGTCAGTCATCCAGGTTAGGGTGGTGCTTGGATTTTTTTGGGACTTCTTTTTTGCTAGTGAAACCAAAAAGATCAAAATACTTAAAATAAACCCTTTCATATAGAATTATGTTAGTTTGTCTAATTTTGAGCCTTTAAAAATAATGGGCTACATATAAAAGTTAGTGAAATACTGCATGAATTGCACGTTGACACACACACACACACACACACACGTAAATACCAGATTATTTTTCATTTAAATAAGCCAGAGATTGCTGCCACTTCTCCTCAGCTTGAGCTTTGAGGATTTTGATAGTTAGTATGGCTAGTATGTGTGTCTTAATCTAAATATTTATGGACTGAACTGTATTAACTCCCCATATGCTTCCTCACCTGACTCCTCTGGTATCTGCACATGCGCAGGCCAACAATATCCCGCGATGAGGCTACTGCCTGGTTGAAATCTCCATCTGTAAAGAAGGATCCTTCTGAAGTGCTGACCACACTGGACCTGCCTGATGAGATGTTGTCCTCAGATGCTGAGCCCCAGCTGTTAACCATAGACCCTGTGACTGATCTGTCCAGATCTCCAGTGCTGGAGGCCGGGGTCTGGTCCAGTCCATGCAGCAGCTGCTTGTGTGGGGACTGGTGGTGCAACTGGTGTTTGTGCTTCTCGTGGTTGTGGTCTTGGCTGTAATGACTTTCAGTGAGCTCTGTATCTGTTTCCTCCTCCAAATCTTCATCATTCTCTTCCTGTCCATCAGTACCCACGCAGAGCGGTATTGAGCTGTAGGTATGTGTTGGGGAAAGAGGGCGAGGGTTGCTTGTGACGTGTTGACTGTAAAACGAATTTAAAAATCTGTCAAATTCTGTCATGACAATAGTTTTATTTTAATAAATGTATGCACGTTGAATTCGGTCGTGGGTTACCTGAGATGTTCTGCTGGATTGTGTAGGCCATTAGTCAGGTCTCCCTGTGATGGTGTGATAGGTGGGTGATTATAAGATACTTCAGTAGAGGATGAGACTGGCCCTCTAACTGGTGGAGTTGGACAGCCTTCAGTTCTCTCTTCTGGATTAAAACTGATAAAAAAGAATAGCTGACATAATCAAATGGCTAAAGAAGTCCAACCATTTGCCAAAGTCCTGGCATATTAGTCACAATTCATTAGATATTAATGCAAAGCCCTCGGTGCATCATCAACACTTTCCATCAAAGAAAAATACAGAACATACAGAAGTGAACTAAAAGCACAATTTAATTGCCCAATTGTGACAGATTAAATTATCCACAACAGCAACTGGTGCCTTAAGGTCCTTGGGCAAACCAGTGGTTTGCAAAATCCATGGCAACTTTTTTTTCATTAAACATGTCATAATGTAATTCCAGTTATATAATCCTGCTCTAATAGTAAACTAACTGTCAGTCAATGCCATAAATGTGAATATTGTAATTGGTTTGGCTGTTATAATGAGACCGTGTTTTGTCCTGCGCCAGGGGGTGGGGGGTCAGTGAAGAATAACTAAAAGTAATAATATTTTTGCACAACGAAGTGCATGTTTTCTAGCAGCTTGAAATGCACTACTTTATGTAAGGCTGTGCTCAGACGTTTATATCCACTCATCATAGCCATGAATGTCATGGTAATCTGGGGCTTTTTAATTATTTCTTTAAGGTGTTCTATGCCTATGTGTATAACATACATTTTTTTACAGTTTAAAAAAAAAAAAAGAAGATTTTTTTGCACAAATTTTAATTTATTTTGGATTTTTTCTAATCTAATCCACACTGGGCCTTATCCACAAGGGACACAATTTTGAAATGTATACATTTACGCATTTATTAAACTGTGCTAAAGGTTTTAGAATGTCTTTTAACTAGCCCAGGCCTACTAACTTTTGTTAGTGATCATGATTGACTTCAACCCGTAGTTTCTCTTTGCCGTATTATAAACAATTTGTCTGACAGCACTCATTGGATTGACCAATATTCAGAACATAGAAAGTCAAAGGACCTTAGTGAAGATCTAAGAAGGAGAGAACTGTTGAGTTCAAGTTGGACAGGTACTTGGAACCATTTCTAATAAACTGCAGATTTCCAGATATCAGTTAAACAATTCTATGTAAGTACAAGTTATTCAATGCGTCACCACTTGCCAAGGGTCTGGAAGAAGGTTCAAACTGTCACACTTAGATGTGAGTAAATAGTTAGGATGTTAAGAAGAATACAGGAACCACCAAGGCTCAAGCTTGCTATGAACAGAAAACTACTGCAACACCAGCATCACTGTCCACAACTTTTAGATGGTCTGAGAAAAAACCACCTACTCCAAATCAGCACATTTAAGCTTGGCTGAACTTTATAGTTGTGCACTTGGAAAAGCCATATACCTTGTGGAGAAATATTTTATAGTCAGATGAGATATAGATTGAGTTAATTGGCCACAATGACAAAGTATGTTTGGAGAAATAAAGTGAGGCTTTCAAACTACGACCACTGTACTAACTGCACAGCATGGTGTTGGTGACGTCATGCTCAAGGGCTGTTTGAATCCAGTGGTAGTGGTACATTGCACAAAGTGAATGGAATAGTGACGAAAGGACTACCTCTATATTTTTCAGCTTTACCTCAACTCAACAGATAGATGACTTGAACTGGGCAAAGTTGGGTGTTCCAACACGACAATGATCCCAAATACACTTTAAAACTGGTTTTGGAGTGGATAAAGTAGGTTATAATTAAGCTTCTGGAATGGTTTTCCCAACGCCCCAACCTGACTATGCTTAAAAGCTGGGCCTGATCAGGAAACCTATCAATTTAAATGAACTCTACCAATCTTTGAAAGAGAATGGTCAAAATGAGTGGTCAAATATCCACCTAGAATGATGCAAAAAGCTGTTGTGGCTATCAAAAGCATCTGGCTGAGGCAAATTGCTAAGGGACATTAACCAAATATTAATTTGGATGTATGTATATACTGTATCTGACCCTGTAAATATACTATTATCCTTTTGTGGATTACAGAAAAACCCAAAATGAATTTAAAATTTGTAAAGCTAATTCTGTTTTCTTTAATCGTTAAAGATGTACGATGTACAACCTTTCCATCTTGGGAAAAAGAACAGTTAAAAGAAAGATGTTGTTAGATCCCAAAATTACCATCGCATCCATGTCCATGATGAGCCTATTAAACTTCTAATTGCTTCCATATTGCTTTTGGCAACTGAAGGGATATGCTAATCTGCATGTGCTGTGTAGAAATACAAGTATCTTTTCCTCTACCTTCTTTCCATGGGAAGGCTATATTCATCACAGTCCCAGGCATTAGCATGAGGAGGAGATAGGGCTTCTCCCCAGCTTACTGCATTATGTTTTGGGATCTTTGGGACCCGTATTCCCTTCTTTTGATTTTGACTCCCTGAGAAATGAAAAATAAACATCAAGATAAACAAAGTCCTGCGGTTTGCCTCATTAATATTAAACAGTACAGACTAGTTGTTGGCTTCACCTGAGGTGCTGTTGCTGCCTCTGTCTGAACTGTGGTGTGAGCCACCTGTGCTGTGATCTCGGGTCTGGTTGTAGGGGATAGCTTTAGGATGAATCATTCCTTCTCCTCCTTGCAAATGATCTGAAGACAAAGCAGCAGGAAAAATGTACCTGTATTTCTATTTTTTATATAAAAATAGTGTAAAACATATCAAGGTGGTCTTCCCTACCATTACTTTTTTGTTCAGTCAAGTTGTATTGCATCTGTGCTGCCATCTCCTTTGGTATTGGAGGCAAATTGGGGGGCTGTTTCCAGCAGGGTATATCCAGAGGCTCTGCTATTGAGCCGCCAGAGGCTGCCTTATTCTTAATGCTGGCCTGAATGAGCTGTGTGGTGGCATATGGAATAGGCTCATATGTGGCTGCTGAATCCCCTCCTGGACTTGCATAGCACAAGTTGGAGTTGTTGAATGTTTTAATCTCATTGAGTTTGTTGGAGAGATTCACATCAGTGTATATGGCTGTCTCAGACCCAAGCTGTCCCTCCTGTTTGTTTTCTGGGTGGTTTCCATAGTTGGCTATGCAGTCGGCTGAGTACGTGAAACAAAGCAGCACATGAGCATGCAAGAACACAAATTTTAGCACAGCTACAAGGTGTATGATTTTTATTACTTGAGCAATATGTATGTAAGCTTGTAACAGAGCTAAATTAAGTCTGAGTTTGTGAGACTGCACTCACCTGGTCGGCTGTATGTTGTCATGTTACTGTCACTAGTGCCATTGCCATTATTGCAGCAGTTGATGCTACAGTCCTTATGATTGGCACATGCAT